TGAATTTTTTCCTTGTCGCTCTCCCTCTTAGCGGCTTGAATGGTAAGCTTTTCTTTTAACTTCTCTACCTCAGCCTTGCATCTCACTATTCTTACATTGAGCTCTTTCTTTAAAGTAATGCGGATGCACGCTTGCTTGCTCTTCAATTCGTTCATTCATAAGTTGGCTTGGGTGGGATACTTTGCCAAGTATCCATGTCTAGGACCTTTCCTCGCCTCCTGCATCCAATTGTGGTTTCCTTGTAGGTTTCATGAAGAATGTGCCTTTCTTGTTCTTTTAAAATCACGAAGCTTCCAACTCAATTCTCTCGCAATTTTTGGAGAAGGCGCTTTCCTAAATTTAAGAACACAATTAGTGTTTTCAACTTTAGCAAGTGGCAATAGCGCAGTTCAGTTCAAGTATAATAAAATTAGGTAAAATGGATACTTTAGAAATCAAATTGTATCGATTAGATTCATGTAATGATTACTTCCTCAAAAAACCAAGTCCATGTTAATCATGCAAATATGATTCCTACCAAAGCATGTTGAGAGGTAAAAAGCAATGGACAGTTGAACTCTAGCATTTCAAAGATATGTATGACATTGAGATAAATGAATAAAACATGTTATGAGAACATACATCACTTGGACACTCATTTACGAGTAGCCCAGCTCTATTCAAATCACTTTAAAGAACATAATTAACTACATAAAGCATCTAACATAAGCAACTTGCTTTCCTAGCAAGTTCCCAGAAATCTGGGAATGCAACAGCTGTATAGAAAAATAAATTATATCTGGAGATATACAAGTCCAAATGACTTGCAAGAGGACATTATGGAAAGCTTATAAAATTCTCGAGATTTCATCTTCATACATCAAAGCATGATTCAGAACTTAACTACTTCCTAAATAGCAGAATTACAGAAACTACTCTGCTGAAACAGAGTACCCAAAACTGGGAGGTAACTTCAAACAGCTGTAACTTTCAAACCATGGGCCAAATGACCTCAAATTTGAACAACGGCTAGATATGACAATTATCTTCGACTACACAAGGTATTCACAAGTTTCCCAGGAAACCAACTTTCAAGGTGAACTTCTCTAAGTCCCCAGATCTGTCCAGATGGGACCAACATCTCACTTAAAGAATTAACAATGTTCCAAACTTACATTTGGACCATACCAACCATATCATGGCAACATACATAACTCATGGACACCAGAAAATATGATGGCCATCATAAAATAAAATTATTTGATGCCTTTCTAAATTTAAATAGATACAAGGATGCATAAAAGACCATATACAAGACTTGCATAGAAAATTCTACAAAAATTACAGCAGCTACCATATGCTATCAGAAGACCACAGAAAAAGTTTGGAAGCATTTGGCTCATCCAAACTTGCTATACCAAAAAGAACAGGTGGCACAGCTGAAAATAACATAAATAAGAAACTAAAGATAGGATTGCCAAACCCAACACAAGGACAAGGAGATGATGACCTTTTATCACCCAATCAGGGCATGTACAACCATCAATATAATAATTATGTTATATATAATTGCAACATCACTAAGTACTAATGAACAAAGTAGCACTTACTGTATCTAGGGAAGTCTTGTGTGCCTTCAACAGAATGCGCTAGCAAATAAGTCTTTCAAACTTTGGAGTACCTACTGTATCTAAGATTAAAAAGATCACTAAGTGCAGGTGAAAAAGAAAAAGATGATTCCATGTACTGTGAGAAGAAGCTGTAGCACCAAATGTTTCTTTGGTGCACATACTGGACCCGTTTGATAAACCTCACCAGTCACCGGTAGCTGAGTTTTGCACCTATGAGAAATAAATTATTTTTTGGTTATCCAAAAGTAATATCGACCAGAAAAAAAAAACCCAATTATTGGTGCCACAATCTAGAGTCAAACATGCCATGAATTCACCAAAACTAACTTTACAGTAAAAACAATTTCTAACTAGTCACTTTGTAAAACTCACGTTGCATGAATCTCATCCCAAGTATCAGGAATACTTTCTAAACCCTGTAGGGCCATAATACCATTCTATAATTCTTAGAGCTGAATAACTTGCCATAGAAAACTGGAGACGTTTTCATTATCTCAGAGCTGAGTTACTAACCATTTCATAACTAGATGAATTCCTAGTGCATTGCTGTAGGGAATCTGAGACAATAATTATATAGACGGACCCGACAAATGAAGCAAAGGTACAAAGAGTAGAAGTATCAGGATATTTAATTAGGGGTATGGAAGTAGGAGTTAGCAATCTGTTGGAAAAATTTGAGGGAATAGGTTGGGAAATTTGGTACAGATCCTTACCCCTTACATTTCCATGTAAATTATGATAAAAGTAACATAGAAGGTAGACTCAGCTCTTGTAAATTATTTAAAGAAAATACCTAGTTTGCTAAGGAAAGAACAAATGAATAAGATACACCAGTGAAATTTTATCAATCATTATATATGCCTCGATTAAGAGGTGAACTCTTGTAGGCAATATGGCCTTAAGTACACAATTTACCACATCTCATTTGCTTAGTGCTACTAGAAATTGCATACTGCCACTGACACTGACAATGTTCAGTATTGTTCAGTGCTGTGAAACCTGAATCGGAGCAAACATAATTAGTATTCCCTACATATTTTCTAGTACTAAAAGGCCATATGAAATGAATTGCTACTAAATATTAGATACCAAATATTACTATTACAATGTTTCAGGCACAAAGTAATGCTGCTATCCTCTCACAACTTTTAAAGTTGCACTTGCACACCGTAACATGATGATGGAACAAGGATAGCATAAAATTATTGAAGTTGACAAGAAAGCGTTACTGCACCAGTAAACGGCTGCACATTTTCTGGACGGTCCCTTTCTAGACTAATAACATGCCTCATTGTTGACTGAGATGCACTTATATTAAATCCAGCACCTAAATTTATCCAACCTGTTACAAGTGGCAAGTGACACTAATGCATACAGAAATGGAGAAACAGGAACATGACGGAGGAAGAGAGATGGGGGCCTTCACCTTGCTGAGGTCTCAACGCAACATGAGCCCTACACACACCACGGCCATCCCCCACGTCTTCTGCAGTGAGAGGAAGGTGGGATGTCGTTCGTCATGGATCCGTTGCCGCTGGTCGTGGATCCATAGTAGCCGGCCATGGATCCGCCACCGCCGCCTGTGGATGGCCCTCGGTCTCCACCAGTCACAGTGGCGCCCGAGCCTGTGCATAGTAAGAGAGTTCGGGGAAAGGGAAAGGAGGGCGTGGACGAGCCGGCTGGTAGGCCGGGTCCGGTAACGTGGGATGCGGTGCTCTAGAGAGCAGCCGCCGCAGTGGGGAATTTTAAGGAGCGAGGAGCTAGCAGCCAGCTAGGTATTGCCAAAGGTAACTGACGCGGGGGATATGTTATTTGGCCTGGGCCGGCGGCAACTCAACGCGGGACTGGAAAATTCGGATTTAGCTAGCGCCAAAGTTCTAAGCCGAAAATAACTTATCTTTTCAAATGATATGAGTTATAATCTAATCCTCAAAAAAATTAATTAAAAAAATGCTATGAGTTATAATCTAAACCTCAAAAAGAATTTTCAATTCCGATGTGAGCGCCCCTCACGAATAGGCGTCGAATATTAAAAATAAGTACTAAAATTGATTTTTTTTTCAAATAATATCGGATAGAGAAATGATCAAAATAAAAGTTGTAGATCTCGAAAACTTATAGAACCTTGCTGTTTACAACTTTTTTATTTGAAATCATTTCTTTGCTTGAAAATGTTGTTAGAAATTTAATTTTTAAATTATTGAAAAACTCTGATTTCTCTTTTTAATCTACTGCTAAAACTACGACTAGTCTTTCTCTCTCGTACTAAATTTAAATTTGATGATTTTTTTCTTAATTTTTCTAAAATCATGCTTTATCAATTTATTGTGTTCTTACAAATTATTATTTTGATCATCTTTTCATGTGACCTGTTTTATCAATTTGAAATTTGAATTTCAAAATGGCAAATTCAAATGTTATTTTTGAAATATTAAATGATTTCAATGAAAAGTCATGAACATAAAAATTGTAGAATCGATCAAGATCTATAACTTTTATTTTGGTCATTTGTTTATCCGACAAAAGTTGTAGTAACATTGTTCACAAATCTTACATATCTCTCGTATAAACTATAAGAGGGGTATGTAAGATTTATGAGCAATGTTATTACCTATGTTGGATGAACAAATGGTCAAAAATAAAAGTTGTAGAATCTCGAAAAGTTATAAAAGTTTATAGTTGACAACCTTTTGACTTGAAATCATTTTGTAAGGAAAAACTACGCTTTGAATTTCTCAAAAAAATAACTTTCGGTCCCGCCTTCGTATCTCTCAGATATGTGACCCGAACTCATATGACTCATGCTCATACGAGTTAGAATAACTTTCGCTCTAACGACGATAGTGTGATTCCTATGTATAAGGTCCCATTTTACAACGCATTTTTACATGTTTGCTAATATAGACATAAGTGATTGTGAGAATGCGGTGGAAGAGTAGGAAAATGCGACGTGTGAGGGGGAGGTTGGGTTTGAATCTCTGCCGCTTGCTACTTGCATATTTTTTGGGCCTGGATTTGTGAATTTGGGTGGGTGGTCAATTGGCCGATGGGGGCCTCCTCAAATTAGAAAGAAATTTTTGCTATTTTTGGCCCTGCATTCATGAATTTTGGGTGGGTGGTCTGACCGTGAGGGGCCTCCTCTAATTAAAAAAAAGAAAATTTTGTTATTTATTGAGTTTGGATTAGTGAATTTTATAAATGGATTTGTAGGTGTCTTCGTATCCATTAAATCCCTATAAATAATGAACCATTTTTACAAATTAGATTTGTATAGCGATTTGTAGCAACCGTGCACGTTCTTTTTTTCTTTTTTCGTTCTCGGTACCCACCAGTCAGACACCCATTTAACATGCCCGGTGAAAGAGAAACTTTCGCGCTGCATGCCCGCACCTAATGGCCAAAGTATTTTTTCCCCTCTATAGCGTGCGCTGGAATTTGGCGTGCACCTAATTGCTGGGAAGGCCCACGTCTCAGAGACAGCACGGCACAGCGCGAGGTAAAAAGCGGGGCGCGGGCTGCGGGGTCACCGGGATCAATCCGACGCCAGCTTCTCAGGTTCCCCTCGTCCATCTTCTCTTCTCTCCTGCTCACAGTTCGCTCAGCAAATCCGCCACACCACGACCTCTCTATCAGCAGCCACCGGAGTCTGTAGTCGGCTGCGACCGAGCTGCTTTCGCCGCCTCCTGAAATCCCACTGCCCCCGCCGCTCGGCATCTCTTCCGTCACCGCCGCCGGGCATCTCTTCAGCCGCCGCCGCCGGGCATTTTCCACCGCCGCATCCAGAGCCCCTGCAGGTTCTTCATCCGTCCTAGCTACTTTTGTCACCCACCATCAACCCCGCTGCTCAAATCTTGCCCCTTCTCTCTGAACCCGATGCCCCAACTGTCGAAGATCTGAGTGCCAAGATTGTACATGTGTTCTGCCATCAAGTAAATTTCTACGAAATGTTGGCCTTGAGCCAGCATCTCCCAAGAGAAGCGCTACTCCTGCACTTGTAGAATTTTTGTATCTTTGAAAAGAATATTTGGATATAAATTTTGCTGTATCTGTAACAGGTAAAATTGGTTAAAAGGCATGTACATGATGTGACACTATTGTAACCGGACTAGATAGTTGTGAGGTAATCTAGCTCGGGGATTACTTGAACTCGAGACTCCGGCCACCGCCAGGAGGTCGCCGCCGACGCCAACCGGCTCGGTTCGATAACGTGTTCAAGCTTGCGTTCATCTTCGCCAGCAAGACATTACATAGGAGCCGTTCGGTACCTTGGCGTCGGTGACAACTATATGGGACATCTTGACATACCACAAGGTACAGGCAATTATCTCATCATATCAAGCACCTCATTTTAGAATTGGTTGTGGTATGTAATTTGCAGTGAACTATGAATTTTTTAGTTCTCCAACAACACATGCTTGTCCATCTCTTACTGCTGCTGTTTGATTGAACACATCGTTGGGCCCAGCAACGAGCAGGGTGCACCTCTCACTCCCTGGCGAACCCTTCCTCTGGCAAGCCTCCCTGCCCGGCGACCCTCCGTGCACATCATGCCTCCTGCAGGTTGAAAATGGGGAGGAAGCAAACGACAACCAGCAGGTAAGGTTGCCCTGGATTTGCTTCTGCTGCTTGACATCAACTATCCAAGCTCATGGTTCCTTTTATGCATTATCAAAATTAAATGGACTGTTCTATACCTGAAGCTATTTTGTTGTTTCATTTCTTGCTCTAGGTGTCTAGTTCTAAAACTGCAGTGTAGTTAATCTTTGCTCTTAATGTTACTTCTTGTCCAATGTACAGTTCCTTTATAGCTGAACTTAGATGATAGTTTACTGCAAAAGATATCACTTGTCCCATTCCAAATAGCATTCTAGAATATCTATATGTATATCTATGTACCTCACTGATTTGTTTTCTACATGATCCAGAATTTTCTGGATGAAACATAAATTGTGGAATTTGATGGACCAAACCATTAACGATCAAATTATTGTCAATAGGATATCTTTTGCAGGTGGCTGGAATTAATCCTATGAACCTGAAACAAAACTTTTAGGAACATAAAAGTAATGTTAAGGGAAGAAATATATTGAATCACATAGTTGTGACCTTTTGCGAAAATCTGCACCTACAGAACTATATATAGTGCAAGGAGAGAAGTATAAAATCTGCACCTCCTTGTGAAAATCTGCACATATAGAACTAATATATAGTGCAAGGAGTCAGTATAAAATCTGCAGCTCCTTTTGTAAAAATCTGCACCTACAGAACAAATATATAGTGCAAGGAGTAGAGTATAAAATCTGCACCTCCTTTTTGAACATCTGCACCTACAGAACTGACATATAGTGCAAGGAGTACATAACTAACCAATCGAGGTGCACATGTGCCACCACTGCACATCCAAGAGCAACTACTGTTGTCCGTCATATATTATGTACTTGTGAATTTTAATTTACTGTGAGACTTGTGACTTGTCAAATTTTCAATATATGACCTGAAAATGAAGCCCTTATAGAACAATTATACTGCTGGTATTTCACATCTACAAGCAATGATTAAATTATCCATACTGATTCCAGCTTGTTTTTGGCATCAAATGTAGTATGTTTTTCTAATAAGTCAGCCATTGCTTAAATTTTTTGAACATTTGCATACTAATGCAAACTATTTTTCTTATCATGTTAGGCTCAAATGGACGCCGCCATGACTTAGCCTACACCAGAAGGGGAACAACCAATGAATCCTGCTCAAGTTGTTGCTCATGTTCTGCCATCAAGTAAATTTCTACGAAATGTTGGCCTTGAGCCAGCATCTCCCAAGAGAAGCGCTACTCCTGCACTTGTACAAGAGTGGGAGGTTGAAGTTGGTAATGACTTGGACATGTGAGATTCATGTATTTTGGGTTGAGTTTGACATGTGACAATTATTTGGACATGTAATTATGAATGAATCTGATTTGCCAAGTGATAATGAATGTGCCATTTTCAATTTGTTTGTTGGTTGTAAATTGTTTTTGTGGGCTGCAATATATAGAGTGGGCAACAATATATGAAATTGCATAAACATCCATGGCAAATAGTATGTGATGTTTTCTTCGCTTGATAAGGAAGATAATAAGTATGAACGACACAATAACTATATGTATACTATGACCAATCTTTGCTAATATGTCCTAGCATCTTGCAATGTAAAACTTTTGATGCAATAGTGACAATGTACCACATCAGAACATTCCTAAACCGATGATATAAAAATCACATATTGCATCAGAGTTTTGCACTATCAATCTGATGCAATAGTACTTCCTAATTGCACCCATATTCTAAGCTGGTGCAATACCACCTACTTATTGCATCAAAAATCAACAGTAACGCAACTAAATTTGTCTGATGCAATAATTTGTACCTATTGCATCTCTTCTTCGAAATCGGTGCGATAGATCATACCTGTTGCATCGACATGAATTACTATCGCATCAAATGCCTTCTCGATGCAATAATGACCACCTATTGCATCAGATTTGCTAAATTGATGCAATAGCACCCACCTATTGCATCAAATTTGTGTTTGATGCAAGGCGAAGCGATGCGATAGGGTCAAAAATTAGTAGTGAGCCAGCCAGCTATATTTTCTTCATCGCCATGGCGCTCCTTCACCAACTCCTTTGGTGGTAGCAGCAACGTTGGGAGAAGGCCTTCAAGATTGGGTACTACCGACATCTAGGCGCAACGGGGGCTGCTCGATCTAGGTGCTAGTGGAAGTTTTGTGATTAAAGGGGTTCGCTTATTTGGGCAAGCCAAGGGGTACTCAATGCACTTTGGTATCCCTGGTTTGCCCTGTGCATTTCTTGTGCCGATTCACCATCCGGTGCCCTAGCGATCCTCCTTCATCTAGAGCAGCAGCGACGACGGCGGCACTTCTCTTCCCCGCCTGGCCGCCTCCTCTTCTTCAATGCCTCTATCTCCCTCGCGCTCGCAACCATGAGAGGTGCAGCAGGGAAGGCAATGCACCTCACTGAGATGCTCCTCTTCTGTTCTCTATCTCTCATGCTCACCACCATGAGAGGTGCAAGCAGGGGAAGCTAAAGCACCTAAATAAGATGATGGTGGAAGCTTTTATGCGGTGTCGTCTCATCCTTAGCTTGCAATCGCCTTCGTCTCCAACTTCGACTATGGGATGTACCTGTACTCGATAGGTCTTTGTTGTACACCCAGTAGTCCTCAATAGGTCTTTGTTATTGTACATCTATGGAATGTAACTAAAGTTATCAACGAAATTGCTAAGATGATTGTTATTGTGTCGTTTATATATAGTTTTTGCCTTAGAAACAATTAATAACTGAATGGCTATGATGCTTGTTACTACATTTTTTGAAGTGTCGTAGTATTTGCCTTGGTTACACAGACGTGAGCTAAAGCACCTTACTGAGATGGTGCTAGGGTGGAATTATTTGCCTTGGTTTATTTGCAAATTGGTTTGATGTGTTTGCAAATTGTCATTATTGCAGCTCCCATCGCCGTTTCATACGGTGATTCAGCATTAGTGTTAGATTACAAAGTATAGGGAATCAAATGGTCTGTGTCATCTTCCCTGCTCCATCGCCCGTGACTCATGTGGGTGGCCGTGGATGTCATGGACCTTGACTGTTGCCTTCCCCGCTCATGTTTATTAGTGGAGATGACTTAAATAACTTGTATTAAGAAATTGGAAACATGTGCAAGGGAATCTGGACCGCATCATACGAGAAGGAAGGTAACTGTAATGAGTTTAGAAAGGAATCATACTTGCATATCATTGTATTAAGGAGAATAAAGAGTTTATCATACAAATCCCCGTCATCTAGATATATACATATCAACATTGATCTACATAGAATCTACTACATTGATCTGAAGAACCTATCGCACTCATTGCGCATCCTACACTCCTCGCTGCAGAACATAGCCCACTCCTCCCAACCTTCCCATCCCATGTGGATGCCACAGCCTCCGCCTCCACACTGATGTCCGTCCTAGCGACACATCGGCATGGCCAGAGGAGGCAGAGGACTAGACTCACTCGGCGCTGGCTGCCCAGCTAGGTCCTGCAACACAAACATGACATGTCGGAGGCGCTGTGTACATATCTTGTTCTTCCATGTCATGTTTGCCGCCAGGCCCACATCATCACCTTCGACCTTCCTCTACCACCACCAGGTAATGTTGTTGTTGCCAGCACCGCTACTGGACCTGTGGAGCACAAGGGAGGGAACAAATACAGCAACATCATGGCCTACCATGGCAAAGCGCTCAAGCAAGTCAAGTCACAGCATGAGCACGATGCGGTCTTCCATGAAGACGGTGCGCATCCCAGCGTAGAAGCAGGCCTCCGGGTTGCCGACGCTAGCAAGACTGGCGATGAGCATGGCGTGGTACTCGTGGTCATAGAATCGGCTCTAGGTCCCGAGTTGTATCCCACGCAGCAGCACCCGCCGCAGTGGTATGCTCGGTCCCACTACGGCGTCGCCGCACACCTATGCATCTATGAACAGGTTGCCTACAGGCTACCAGGATCTTCCATGGGATCCGCTGTAGCCACAGCGATGCGGCTAGCAATCTCAACAGCCATATCCATCGGGAGCTTCTCCATACAACAAGTACACATGTGGCGGCTGCAAAAGATGGATCCTTGTGTCGGGGAGCGACGTCATGGCAGAGCAGAGCACTGGGGTGGGGGATCGGAGTGGAGCAACGCCATCCACCACTACTAGAAATATCCACTTCTATGATGAAAATCTTAATGATAAATCCTAAACCATCATAGAAGATCGCTTTTTATGACAAAATTTTTGGTTTCATCATAGATCAGTGGTGACGATACTCCAACCCTCCCTATCTATGATGAAATCAAGCATCGTCACAAAAAACATCATAGAAGAGCATAGGGTTTCGTCATAGATCACTCGCGCGACTCATCTGTGATGATC